ACTTTCAGAGTTCAACTGTATACGTTTCTCATCTTTTATAGTAATTCAGACATGTTGGGTGAGAGTCTATATTTTCCTCAGGAGCAAAGCACAGAATTTGCAGCTCATGGAGATTTCATAGATTTCATAGACATTAGGGCTGGAAGGAACCCCGTGAGATTATTGGGTCCAGCCCCCTGTCCAGGGGGTAGGAAGTCAGCTAGGGTCAGATCACACCAGCAAGAGAGGCATCCAAGCGTTTCCTAAAGGTATCCAGAGTAGATCCTTGCGCAACTTCTGTGGGGGTGGGAATCTATTCCAGACCCTGGAGACTCTAACTGTAAAGTTGTTCCTTATGTCCAGTCTAAAATGGTCTTCTAGCAGTTTCTGACCATTAGGCCTTGTCTTCTCTTATGGTGCCCTGGTGAACAGACATTCTCCCAGTTCCTGATGCACACCCCTTACATACTTATAGGCTGCCACCACGTCACCTTTTGCTTCTTCAGGATGAAGAGTCCCATGTCCCTCTGCCTCTCTCGTAAGGCTTGCTCTCTTGCCCTTTGATCATGCGGGTGGCTCTCCTTTGGACTCTCTCAAGCTGCTGTACATCCTTTCTGAAGTGTGGAGCCCAGAATTGAATGCAGTACTCCAGCTGTGGCCTCACCAAGGCTGAGTAAAGCAGGAAGATGACTTCTCGGATCTTGCTTGAGATGCATAGGTAGATGCAAGCCAGAATTTTATTTGCTTTGTCGGCTGCCACATAGCATTGGTGGCTCATGTTCATCTTGTGGTCAATCATGACCCCTAAGTCTCTTTGGTCATGGTGCTAGTGCTAGTGAATGTAGCAGAGCCGAGCCTACGTGGGTTTTTTTCCTAAGGTGGAGCACCTTGCATTTCTCTGTGTTGAATATTGTCGGGTTTTGATCCTCCAACCTTGCAAGCCAGTCCAGATCGGCCTGAATTGCCAGGCTTTCCTCAAGCATAACTGCATTTCCCCGTAATTTGGTGTAGTCTGTGAACTTTAAAGATCCCTGGGGATCTTTAAGAAGAGGCTGGATACTTACCTGGCTGGACTCATTTGAGTCCCGTTTTTGTTTTTAGGGTGAGTGGTTTTTTTTTTTTTGGGTTGTTCTCCCGCCCTGGCGGGGGGTCGGGCTAGAAGATCTATTAGGTCCCTTCCGACCCTGAAACTATGAAACTATGAAACTTAGCCAGTCTGCTTCTGACACCTGAATCCAAATTTATGAATATATTAAAGAGTACTGGTCTGAGTACTGAGCCCTGGGGGACACCACTGGTCACCCTGCACCATGTTAATTCGGTTTCATTGGCAGTCACTCTCTGGGTCCGACCACGGAGCCAGTTCCCTAGCTATCGGACTGTAAAGTTGTTGAAGCCACAGTCCCCCAATTTTACCATGAGGATATCATGGGAGACCAAATCAAAGGCTTTTTTGAAACCTAAATATATGACATAAACCTCTTCTCCTTTGTCCAGGTGATGCATCACCTGGTCGTAGAAGGAAATGAGGTTGGTCAGGCAAGACCTACCCTCAACACAGAAATATCGGTTGTCTCTCAAAATGTTGCCCGCAGTTAGCCTGTTCTTGATGGTTTCTTTGATTTTTCTACAAAATCTTTCCAGGGATTAAGGTCAAACTGATTGGCCTGTAGTTTCCTGGATCTTCCTTCCTTCCTTTCTTAAAGATAGGCACCACATTGGGACACATTGAGAGTGTCAGGTAAGGTGCTTGAATCCATCTTTGTTTCCTTCAGATTCTAATTCTGTGCAATTTTAAACAACCTTTGGATGAGGAATCTTCTGGGCTGCCCAGAATCCCTACAGTGCTTTGTATTGGTGTTCTGTCCCTGGTCTGACCTTTTATGAGAGCTTACAAGGTCTTTCTCAAAAGGCAACTTGATGCCTGTCTCTCACAAGATCTGTGCCTAGGGGAGATGCTCCAGAATATAACCAGATAAAAGAAGCTGTTACAGAACCAATCAGAAGCCCTAAATGAGATAGGGACTCCATTGTCAGAAACTCCATCCACCCTGCCCTGAAGAGTTTCATCTGAAACAAAATAGACAGAATCAGGGATTGACTTTTAGTCTCCTGAATACTGGTCAAATGTCCTAACAAATCATTCTTCACGTCAACATTTCTTCAGTGTTTTCTTTCATCTCTTTTCATTTTCCTCGTCTTGCATCTCAGAATTTCAGAAGTCTGAGATGAATAATTTATCAACTTGTATAATGAATCTGGACTCAGAGCATCCAAAATGCAAGTATTTGTGCATAATTCCATGTTGTCTATGAGATTTATCTAACAAATACAGTTAACCGGCATAGTGTATGGTAATATTTATGCCAGGTAGAAGTATTGTTATGACACTTATGGAAATAGGCAATTTATTTAACTGCTTGTATTTAACTGTTTTTATAAAAGTTTATAAAAGGGATAAGAAAATATATTTTTGACAATAGGAGGTCTGGCAAACATGGTATCCAGATTTAGTTTGAGGATACAACCTTAGTGGAAGGAAAGACAATATATGTCAGACGTAATTTCTAAGAAATGTGGGGGGGTTTTTCTACTGAAAAATAAGTTGAAAGTGTGTGGCTATTACAACATTTTTAAAAGCAAAATTTTTTCCCACTTAGATAATGTACAAGATGTAGTGAGACTACCTTGAATGTGGCTTTTGCACTGTATTAATGATCAATTTAAATTCTAAGCCTTAATGCTATTTCTGTTAACTTTTATTTTTGTAGGCCATGTGCCTGTAATTCAGGATGATCTTTGCTGTGATTTCTGCCCCATAGTCACGCGGCAGTTCGCACTTCCTTTATTTGCTCAATGTACATTTTTGCGTATATTAGTAGAGGCTTCCTTGTGTTATCTGTACCTTAGGAGTGTAGGGCAGATAGCAGTTCAAATATATTATGATGGCAGAATTGGATCCCAACTGTGTTTGTGTGCTTTTTTTTCTGTTCATTGTAGTTCAGTTAATCCCTCAAGATGGTGTAGTTTATAAATACTGTTATAGCCAATTATAGTTTTAATACATTTCAGTACAAGTTGTTCATAAGCCATGTATACAATTCTTCATGTGTAGCATTTGCTGTGATATGGATTCTGCCAATGTGGCTACTGTCCAGAAAAGCTGGCTGTCTTTATAATGTTTCAAAGCAGCAGTATTTTGAAAGTGTTAAGTTGCTGCTACAGTTAGACTTCCCAGTGTTAGCCAGGATTAGTACTGCATTTTTATTTTTTTCAAGGTGCTCTTTAAAATATGATAGTACTTTACCGTCTCATGCCAGTAGTAAATATGATTAATTATTTTAGCATAACATTAATTTTTATTGCCTAGTGGAGTTAATACCTTTGTATGTTGTTTGTTTCTTTTATATTTTTATAGATTACAGCAGGGCTGTCCAGTTGGGTGGTCCACAGGTTGCTTTCAGCAGCGGTTTCCCCCCATTGCTCTGGCTGCAAGGGGGGAGTAATGGTGCAGTGTAGTGTGCAGTCCACAGTGCTGGGGGAACCTGAAGGGTATAGTGCAGCATTGTGCCAGGCAGGCAGTGCAGGGTGAGTGAGGGAGGGTCCTGGTACACACTACAGTGGGCACTGGGACACATGGTGCAGCAGGAAGAAGCACTGATGCATGTAGTGTAGCATGAGTGGGGGAGCGCTGCAGTGCCTCGTACATTGCAGGAAAGGGTAGCACCAGAGTGTGGTACAGTGGTGGGGATTGGGGAATATGTGGTGCAGCGTGTTGCGGGGGCACCAGGAGGCGCTGTTCCAGGAGGGGCAAGTAGTGTGTGGCACCCACTGGTGTGACCCCCAGCTGCTAAGATGTTGGGCAGGCCTGCATTACATTAATGAAAGTATGAAGCATAGTTGAGATGTGTGAAAGGCATTTCTCTTAAGGTAATGAATCTACATACAAGATTTAAGAAATCGCATACAAGTAGAAAGATCCAAATTCTTAAGTACTATAAATTTCCTAAACATTATTTGCTTGGCAATTTTTTAGGATTTTTTGTATCTTTAATTGGCATGCTTAAGGCAGTTCTCAAATTGTAAGGCTAGTTGTCTGGGTGGTGGTAGGTCTTCTGCAAACTGAACATGGGGAAAACGGATGGAAAATGGCTTTGAGGAAATAAGTATATTTTTCTCTTTTTGTGGGACTTAGCATAGGTTAGAAGCTGTTGTATTACCATATTCTTTGCAGATTGCTTCAACCCATACCTAGTCAAGGATTCCTCCTTTGTGGAAAACATCATGATGGTCAACTGAGCAAAAAAGCAACAAGCTGTTACCCTGGGCATATGTTATATACACGAGAAACATCTTAAGTATTTTTCTGCGTGTATTTAAGAGACTCCGGTAAAGGTAGAGGACTATTACTCTAATTGCATAATGCTTATTTAACTAAATACCTATTTTAAATATAATATTTTAATTATCAGCCTACAACATTACAAGGTTAAATTTAAGAAAAATTCTGAAAACTTTAAGCATAACCAGTAAGTAAGGGCCAAATTATGTTAGCTCATAGTGAATATAAAGATGCCTGGGGGACTGGTTGAGAAATGTAATTTGTTAACAGAAATATGGTGCATGCCAGCAGAAACAGATTTTGTGTTTGTGGCAGTTGTGAAGAACTAGCTTGTTGCAAAGGGATTTGCTTGTAGATAGGTAGATGAAAGGGCCTAATTTGACTGCCATCTGTTTCCACGTTTCTTTTAAACGCAACCAGTTTTCCCTGTTTTTATATCCACTTCACCCCTGCCCCCAATTTACCCTTGTTTTGTACTTTGTGCTCCCTGCTGTTTAGTGCTTCCACTTGACACTGGATTATTTCTTGTGCTTCAGACATCCTGCCCTTCCATCTTTCATGTACTTCCCTCACCCTTGCTTTTGAGTGGCAGTTTTCTCATCATGAGGAAGGAGCGGTAGTCTTTACAAATTAATAACTGGAAAAGTAAATTTTGCTCAGATAGGTGGTTTGCTACTTCTTTAAGGTGCTAGCTTTCACCCAGGAGAAGAAATTCTTGCCTGCCTTTCCCCCTCTTAAAATATAAAATTCACTCCTGTCAATTCACTGGAACAATTTGTTTTGGTTGACTGCATATTCCTCCTTTGATGCCATAAAATTCTTTCTTTGTTAGGTAGGTAAACTGAAATTAAATGATTACTTTGAATAAATTGGGGGACTTAGCATAGTTCAACTGAAGTGTTCTAATTTTTTTTGCTACCCACTGCTAATGCACATTAAGTGCCAGAGGCAAGGATTTTTGTGATATCTTTTCCTAAATCAACTGTATAGTTGGGAGAGCCATTGGACAAGCTTTCAGGCATCAAGTGCCCTGTTCAGGTTTGGGAGGGAAGCAGCCACAGGCTGGGCAAAATATCAAAGAAAAGACTCCATGCCCATGTGGCGTGTTCTCTAATATTTTGTGCAGCCTGTGTCTGCTTCTCTATAGCCTGAAGAAAGGCATTTGATGCTTGAAAGCTTGTGCACTATCTTTCTCAATTATACTGTTGGTCCAGTAAAAGGTATCATAAAAACTCTTGCCACACAGATGTTTCTTGGTACACAACACTCTAGCCCTACCACAGTAAGCGTAATAAACTAGTAACAAATTTACCTCTGAATTAAATGAGGAGGTACATTGCTGTGGACAGACAGATTAGTTACTACAATCTTGTTCAAACTGTGATAAAGTCTCCAGTTCCTTTTAAAGAGGTATAGTTGCTTTGTTTATCCACAGACCCAGTGTGAAAATTCTCTATTTTTTAGTACACTATTTAGGTTAATTCATACCAGAAATAGCCATTCGGTTCAATATAGTAGTTGCTTTTGGTGCTTTAACTCTTTTGGGGAAGGTACGTTGTTCACACACTAAATATGAATTAAATTCTGGAAAATTGAGAGATTCCAGAGGTTTTACTAACATATTTCAGTACCGGTAATTTGGCCTGCAGATGTAGGTGCCATGTTATCAGTTGTGGTAAATCAGTGTAGTTCCATTAAGGTCAGTGGAGTTGCACCAAATTGCACCAGCCAGAGAAGCTGCTTCATTATGGGGGGTGAGGAGGTGGGAGGAGGAGCATTATAAATGTTGGAAGCATGCTAGAAAGTAGGATTCAGCAGG